AGACTTAATGCACTTTGCTGTATGTATATCTCATAGTACCTTGAAAAATGGTAGTATGGCTACCACAAAAGTGTCTAACAATGTGTCATATTCAGAATGAAATTTTTTATCACAGGATTTTATTGAAAACACTTCTTGACTGGGCATAATGTCCCATGCCTGTAATCCCAGCACTTTGGGAGGCCACGGTGGGTGGATCACAAGGTCAGGAGTTTGAGACCAGCCTGACCAAGATGGTGAAACCCTGTCTCTACTAAAAACACAAAAATTACCCGGGCGTGGTGGCATGTGCTTGTAATCCGAGCTACTCAGGAGGCTGAGGCAGGAGAATCGCTTGAACCTGGGCGGCAGAGGTTGCAGTGAGCCGAGATTGCACCATTGCACTTACGCTGGGCGACAGAGGGAGACTCTGTCTCACAAAAAAAAACCAAAAAACAAAAACAAAAATAAACAAACAGACAAACAAAAAACACTTCTTGACCTGGATGTTGCCTTTCCAGAAATATTTCTGCACTCTAACAATAGGTTCCTGGTTACTGGCTATACTAAAATATTTAGTGTTTTTTAATAATATACCATACACTCTTAAACCTCTTTGTCTTTGCAAATGCTCTTCTTTCCTTGGATGTATATACTTACCATCCTCTTATTTTAACCCTAAATTTTCCCTAGTAATTTCCACAACATTTCACATCTTAATTCAGTCATTATGTTATCCAGATAATCTTCCCAAGCCAACTCAGGCATAATTAGGCACATTTTTGCTATATTCTTTTAGCATCCTATCATAGTATTTTCAAACTGTATTAAAAGCTTTTCTTATTTTTCTGACTCTCACTAGATTATAAAGTCCTTCAGAACGGGCATTTTTGTTTTGTTTTTAAAATATTATTAATGCATAACATAGGGTCTGACATAAAGTAGGCACAATAAGAGTTTTTGTGTCAGAACAAGAAAACAATTAGGGAAAATCCTAGTAGTTTCTATATTGAGTTTCTCCTACATGTTCAGTGGCAGATTAGGGCTTTCCTACAGTCCATGGGCTCAGAAGACACAACCCCATTATTATGGACTTGAATATTGCAAAGATAGTACTAAATTTACTTTCTTTGGTTACAGGGAGACATTCAAATATAGAAAATTGTTCGTAATCCCAGAAACCATTTTATCAGCCAAGTGACCTAAATAGTGGGTAGAAAATTCTGTCTATGGCAGGCCCAACAATCAGTAGATCTATTCTCTTTCCTAGCCATGAGAACATGGAAAACTGGGGCAAATTAGGCTAGTATAGCTTGTTCATATCCTCATTCATCAGGAGCACATGCATGGCATTAAATGTTAGAAAATACAGAAATGGCTGTCTTCATAGCCCTTTAAAGCTCATTTATCATAGTTAAAATTTTGAAAAGAATCATTTTCATTTAATAATTATAAAAATATATTTTCCTAAAATATCACCTGTACAGTTATACAGGATTATCTTTTATACTGAAATAATGGATATTTAATTGGTAAATAAATATGTACCTAAAATTCAGCCTAGTTGTGTTACTGTAGTACAATACACTTTTTTCCTTTAAACCAATAGATGTTTTCAGTAACACACCAAAGCTACTAGAAATCATGTTTGGCTTCTATGTACATTTTTCTTTTTTTTTTTTTTTGAGATGGAGTCTTGTTCTGTCACCCAGGTTGGAGTGCAATGGTGCAATTTGGGCTCACTGCAACCTCCACCTCCTGCGTTCAAGCAATTCTCCTGCCTCAGCCTCCCAAGTAGCTGGGACTACAGGCACGGGCCACCACGCTCAGCTAATTTTTGTGTTTTTAGTAGAGACAGGGTTTCACCATTTTGGCCAGGATGGTTTTGATCTCTTGACCTCGTAATCTGCCTGCCTCAGCCTCCCAAAGTGCTGGGACTATAGGCGTGAGCCACCACACCTGGCCTTCTATGTACATTTTTAAAGTAGTTTTGAATGGAAAACATTAACTTAGCAAAGGTATAGTCAAATGTGTTTTTACAACATGATTATCATATTTATTTCATTTTAAACCACTTAAAAAAAAACTAGAAACTCAGTTAATATTCTCAAAGGACATAAATTCACTGCTAGTTAATCTCAGAATTCAATGTTAAAATCCATAGTAGTTGCTTATTTTGTTGTAATTTATATTTGAAATTGCCTTATCCATTACATTCCTCTTGATTTTGATAGTAATCTAATGTAAATTTTTTAGCCAGATGATCTCTAGAATATGCTATAAAGTCTAGCATAGATTAGTCTAAACAACTTATGATGTTTTAATAGCAGGAAATTCTATTGCTGAATTTGTTAATATCCATCTACTTCTACTAGAATTTTAATAATAATTTCATTCTTGTAAACATAAGGTCAAAAATATTTGGGAATGTATATGCAAAACAAAATTTGGAAGAAAATGAACCACAGTAAACTTTTAACAGAAACAGAACTTGAGAATTCAGAAATTTATCATTTTAATGACATTAGAAATAAGCATTTTTCCTAAGAAGCCACCTGTAACACATTAAGTATAAATCATAGTTTCTTAAGTGCTGTTTTGGGACCTCTGTGTTGCAATTCCAGATGCATAAGTTAGTTAAACAAGGAAATTGTTGCATTTGGGGCAAGCAAAAAGAAAGTGATGAAGGTCAGGTCTTAAAATAAGTTAGGGGTGAAATACTTTGGAATTTAAACTTAATATAGAGTAAATTTAGGGGAAAATAATAGCAAATAAGTTTTTAATGTATAAATATTAAATATTACATAGCACAGGATCATTAATTCACTGATCTTATTAGATTTATTATTTTTAAATTATGGCATAAAAATACTCCCTGTTATTTAAAAATAAAACAGCACCAAAAAGTTGAAATCAAAATAAAAACTATGTATTTCAACATTTAAATGTACTGTATAAAATAGAGTTCAGTCTTAAACCTAGAGTCCCTTAAAACCTTTACTAAAAACCCTCATTATTTTTTAATAACACTTTTATAGTTCTTACAACATACCTGTTACTGTTCTAAGCACTTTACAAATACTAAGTCATTAAATCTTTATAATAACCTCACCAGGTAGGAGTCATTATCCTCATTTTACAAATGAGGAAACACATTGCTTTTGTCTGGATAAAGCCTCCAAAATATGCAAGTTAATTGACCAAGGTTACACAAAGCTTTAATACTAAGTGGCAGAGCCAGACCTAAACTCAGTCACTTGAAAGTCTATCATCTTATCAACTATGTGCTCTGCTGCCTTCTCAACGTCTAATATTAGGCCTTCAGAAAATTAACTCGTATCAGAAAATAGTAATATTAGAAAATTTTTAATTGAATGAAATGTCAAAAAACCTAAAAGCTAAGGAAATATACTATATTCAGCTAAAACTCCCATAAATACTTGAATTCTTCATGAAGATCTTCAACAAGAGATCATATAGACTTTACTTGAATACTTCCAGTGACAGGGAACTCATATTAAGGCAGACAATTTTATTTCCTGATATATGCCTCCTGTAAAAACTGTATTTCTTTTAGAGGTAGGATCTCCATCTGTTGCCCAAGCAGGAGTGTTTTACCCTGTTTCTATCCTGTCTTCTAAGGTCACACAAAATTAATCTCACTTCTCTTTAACACTGCTGCCTTAAAATATGCGAAGAAACCAATTATGTTCTAATTCCCCACCCCCTACCCTTGCCTAAATATTCTATTTCCTTCCAAATTTCTTCATGTACACAGTGGAATTTCCTCACATTTTTACTTTTTTGTTTCTGGACGTGCTCCAATTTTTCTTCTGTCTCTTAAAGTGCACCATTCTCAAACTGAATTCCATATTTAAGAAGTATTTTGACTGCAATAGAATAGCACCATTACCACTCATTCTATTTTTACTTTTTTAAATTTATTTTTTCCTAATAGGAACCCCAATCAACCATTCTAAATGCTATTAATGTGGACAAATATTGACTTTTTAGACAGCAAAAACATATAGATTCATATTAATTATAAAATAATGCCTCTATGATATTTTCCACATATTACAGCTAATAAACATAGTTTACATGTGCAATTGATTTTTGAAAATAAATTTAAATTATTTACCCTTATGAAATTATTAGAAATAAATATCTTATTAGAAATCTGTCAGTCCATTATTCCAGTCTGCTGAGATCTTTGAAAATCTCAATGACCTTACTTAACAAGTTAGCTATCTATTCTAGCTTTTCTCAACCAAATCATTAGAAAACTATCAACATTTATACAAGATAAGCTTTTTTTCTTCTTCTTCTTTTGAGATGGAGTCTTACTCTGTCACCCAGGCTATAGTGCAGTGGCATGATCTTGGCTCCCTGCAACCTCTGCCTCCCAGGTTCAAACAATTCTTCTGCCTCAGCCTCCCAAGTAGCTGGGACCACAGGTGCAGGCCACCACACCTGGCTAATTTTTGTATTTTTAGTGGAGATGGGATTTCACTATGTTGATCAGGCTGCTCTTGAACTCTGACCTCAGGTGATCCACCGGCGTCGGCCTCCCAAAGTGCTGGGATTACAGGCATGAGCTACCATGCCCAGCCTACAATATTGTTTTTAATATAATTAAATACTCATTTTATTGATTATTTATCAAATAAATATGCCCTGTGTTATACACCATCTGTTGTCAAAGAAGATAAGGTTCAGAGAGCGTTAATTGAAATCCAGACATGATATACAATGGTTTCCTTCTTCTAATAAAAGTCTATTAATAATTTCTTCCTTTAAAATTATTTACTTATTTATTTTTAAAGAGATGAGATCTTTTTTTTTTTTTTTTTCTATACAGAATTTTTTTTAATGCTTTTTAAGAGTTGAGTACATTCTTACATTTGTAGAGTTTCTCTCTGCTACGAGTTATTTTGTTTAGTAAGTTATGAGCACTGGTTGAGAGAATTTCCACATTCTTCACAGTTGTAGGGTTTCCTTCAAGGATAATTTTTCCTATGTTTAGTAAGAGTTGAGGTTTGGTTAAAGGCTTTATCACATTCTTCAGATTTGTAAGACTTCTATCCAATATGAATTATCTTATGTTTACTAAGATTTGAGGATTGGTTAAAAGCTTTGCCACATTCTTCACATTTGTAGGGTTTCTCTCCAGTGTGAATTCTCCTGTGTGAAGTAAGGTGTGAGGAATGGGTAAAAGCTTTGCCACATTCTTCACATTTGTAAGACTTCTCTCCAGTATGAATTATCTTATGTGTAGTAAGGTTTGAGGATTGGTTAAAAGCTTTGCCACATTCTTCACATTTGTAAGGTTTCTCTCCAGTATGAATTATCTTATGTTTGGTAAGTTTTGAGGAGTAGTTAAAGGCTTTGCCACATTCTTCACATTTGTAGGGTTTCTTTCCAGTATGAATCATCTTATGTGTAGTAAGGTTTGAAGACACATTAAAGGCCTTGCCACATTCTTCACATTTGTAGGGTTTCTCTCCAGTATGAATTCTCTTATGTTTAGTAAGGGTTGAAAACCAGTAAAAGCCTTTGCCACATTCTTCACATTTGTAGAATTTCTCTCCAGTATGAATTATCTTATGTTTGGTAAGGAATGAGAATCGATAAAAAGCTTTGTCACATTCTTCACATTTGTAGGGTTTCTCTCCAGCATGAATGAACTTATGTGTAGTAAGAGATGAAGAATGGTTAAAAGCTTTGTCACATTCTTCACATTTGTAGGGTTTCTCTCCAGTATGAATTATCTTATGTGCAGTAAGGTGTGAGGATGTGTTGAAGCTTTTGCCACATTCTTCACATCTGTAGGGTTTCTCTCCAGTATGAATCATCTTATGTGTAGTAAGGGTTGAGGAGTGCTTAAAAGCTTTGCCACATTCTTCACATTTGAAAGGTTTCTCTCCAGTGTGGATTCTCTTGTGTGTAGAAAGGGCTGAGAACCGCATAAAGACTTTGCTACATTCTTCACATTTGAAAGGTTTCTCTCCAGTATGGATTCTTGTGTATCTAGAAAGGTGTGAGGACCGTGTAAAGACTTTGCCACATTCTTCACATTGATAAGAATTCTCTCTAGAAAAAGGTTTCTCTCCAGTATGGATTCTTGTGTGTCTAGAAAGGTGTGAGGACCGTGTAAAGACTTTGCCACATTCTTCACATTGATAAGAATTCTCTCTAATATGAATTCTTTTATTTTGACTTAGGTATAAATGCATGCAAAATGATTTGCCACATTTTTTACATTTGAAAGTTTTCTTTCCAGTACGTCTTGTCTTATGTCCGTTTGAATTTAAACATTTAAGAAAGACTTTCATATATTTATCGCATTGAACTATTTCACTCTGGGTAGCTGTCAAACACTGGTTTAGTTCATTATAACCTTCTTTGTGCACCTTACACTCATCCACACTTGCAGAGCCTTTTCTTAACTGTAAATTCTCAGGTCCACATTTTCCATATCTTCTCAGTATCACTTGTTGAAAAGAATCTTTTATGTCTTGCTCTGGCCAAAGGTCTTTGACAAAATAGGAACATGTAGCTGTAATCCCAGCACTTTAAAGAGGCCGAAGGTTGTGGATCGGGTGAGATCAGGAGGTTGGGATCAGCCTGGCCAACATGGTGAAGCCCCATGTCTGGGGGTTCATCTACCATCTCATATCTCTTCATATTCCAGGGCTCTTTTCCTTGCTCCAGACAGGTGATCAGGTCTGGCTTAGAAACAGCAATACCCAAGAAGGCCACGTTTCTGTAGTTCTCTAACATCACTTTTCTATACAAATCCTGCTGAGCAGTGTCCAGGCATTGCCACTCCTCCAGAGAGAATTCGATGGCCACATCCCTAAATGTCAACGGCCCCATTTCAGGCGTCCAGGGGGTCCCGGCATCTTAGCTGTGGATCTCTCAAAACCTGCAGGTCACGGGGCCGCGAGGCTGGGCCTCCAGGAGCAGAGGACACAGAGCAGAGAAAACAAAACCTGGGGCTCCCTCTGCAGCAAGAGACAAAAAGCAAGAGATGAGATCTTACTGTGTTCCCCAGGTTGGTCTCGAACTCCTGAGCTCAAGTGATCCTCTAGTCGTGGCCTCCCAATGTGCTGGGTTATAGGCGTGAGCTACCATGCTTGGATCCTATTAATAATTTCTAGTGACATTACTCAAATAAAAGAAAGAGTTCATTTTATATGGTTTCTTATGGAACACAGGCTATGGGAAAACATGATTGAAAAATATTTAGGCTGTGTGCAGTGACTCATGCCTGTAATCCCAACACTTTAGGAGGCCAAGGCAGAAGGATTGCTTGAGCCTAGGAGCTCAAGACCAGCCTGGGCAACATAATATCACTTTGTCTGTACTACAAAAAAATAAAATAAAATCAGCCAGGCATGGAGGCAAGTGCTTATAGTCCCAGCTACTTGGGAGGCTGAGATGGGAGGATTGCTTGAGCTCAGGAGATCCAGGTTGCAGTGACCCATGATTGCGCCACTGCTCTCCAGCCTGTGCATCAGAACAAGACCATCCCTACCTCCATCTTAAAAAAAAAGAAAGAAAGAAAAAGAAAAAAATGAAGAGGAAAAGATTTGAAGAACAAGATATCACAACCTGAGAGTAAGTCTAATTCTGTAAACCTGTTAAAAATGCAAACAAAATCCTAGCAGGCATTAATGAAGGACAATATGTAGCAAGCAATTTGTAATTATCCTTCTTCATACCTGGCAGATACTTACTAGACTGTGAGCCATGTAACACATCCCTGCTTTCCCATCCTTTTTTTACCATTATCATAAGTTTCTTGAAAGTGCCCCAGCCATGTTTCCTGTACAGCCTGTGGAACTATGAGCCATTTAAGCCTCTTTTCTTTACAAATTACACAATTTCAGTTCTTTCTTTCTTTTTTTTTTTTTTGAATTTTTAAACACAATTTTATTTGTCCTGTTTTTTAAATCTTAAAAGCTACTGGGCACATAATAGTTGCCTCTGAGTGTCCACTGAATGAAGATTTGTGCATATGGTATTTAAAAAAAATTTTTTTAATTATTTATTTATTTATTTTAGTTTTTTAAATTGCATTTTAGGTTTGAGGGTACATGTGAAGAATATGCAAGATTGTTGCATACGTACACATATGGCAGTGAGATGTGCTGCCTTCCTCTACATCACCTATATCTGGTATTTCTCCCCATGCTATCTCTCCCCAACTTCCCACCCTCTCCACTGTCCCTCCCCTATTTCCCCCAGACAGACCCCCATGTGTGATGCTCCCCTCTCTGTGTCCATGTGTTCTCATTGTTCAACATCCACCTATGAGTGAGAACATGCGGTGTTTGATCTTCTGTTCTTATGTCAGCTTGCTGAGAATGATGGTTTCCAGGTTCATCCATGTCCCTACAAAGGACACGAACTCATCGTTTTTGATGGCTGCATAGTATTCCATGGTGTATATGTGCCACATTTTCCCTGTCCAGTCTCTCATCGATGGGCATTTGGGTTGGTTCCAGGTCTTTGCTATTGTAAACAGTGCTGCAATGAACATGCATGTACATGTGTCCTTATAGTAGAGCGATTTATAATCCTTTGGATATATACCCAGTAATGGGATTGCTGGGTCAAATAGAATTTCTATGTCTAGGTCCTTGAGGAATCGCCACACTGTCTTCCACAATGGTTGAACTAATGTACACTCCCACCAACAGTGTAAAAGTGTTCCTATTTCTCCACATCCTCTCCAGCATCTGTTGTCTCCAGATTTTTTAATGATTACCATTCTAACTGGCTTGAGGTGGTAATGCATTTCTCTAATGACCAGTGATGATGAGCATTTTTTCATATGTTTGTTGGCCTCATGTATGTTACTTCTTTATAGCAGTGTGAGAATGGGCCTATTACAAAGAGCAAGAAAGAAAACATTAAAGAGAGTTTTAGAGCTGTTAGAAGCTCTAACTTATGTCTAAGTAGATTCCAGGAAAGAATGCAAGAAATGTAATACTGAAAGAGATACTAGCTTACAATTTTTCAGAACTGAAGAAAAACATGGATATACAGATATGAGAATCATAACCAGTACTAGTCAGGATAAGCAGAAGAAAAAGAAAAAGGAAATGAAATCTACTACTAGACATATTGCTGAGAAACTTAAAAACATATATATATAGATGAAAAATGATAGATCTTAAAAGTAGCCAGATAAAATGTATAGGTCACTTTTCTAGAGAAAAAGGACAGCTCTCCCAGCAGCTATCACTGAAGCCAGAAGAAATGGAATGATACCTTCAAAGTGCAGAGAAAAAAGAACTTTCCACCTAAAACTGTATAGCAAAATTATAGTTCAAAAATGAAATGTACTAACATGTATGTAGTATACCAACATATATGTAGTGGAAGTCTCAGAAGGAAAGGAGAGGGAGAAAGGGATAGAACAGTTAACTGAAGAATAATGGTTGAAATCTTCCCAAATTTGATTAAAGTAAGAAAACATTAAATATTCCAGAAGCTCAACACACCACAGGTATGAAGAAAAAAGTAAAAAGCAGCAAGAGAAAAAAGGATTTAAAGATAGGAAAACAACAACATGATTAACAGTTGACTTCTTATCAGGAACAATGGAAGACAAAAGGCAGTGGGATTACGTTCAAAGTTCTGGGGATGGGGTCAGGGAACTACCACCAAAGAATTCTATAATAAAAAATAAGGAAAAATAAAGATATTCCCAGATTAAACAAGCACTGAGTGAATTCACTGCTAGCAGACCTACCTTATAATAAATACTAAGGAAGTCCTTTAGACTGAAAGGAAATGGCATAAGACAATAATTTGAATCCATAGGAAGAAATGAAGAGCATCAGAAATGGTAAAAATGTTGATAAATATAAAAGTCTATACAAATATTTATTTTTCTCTTAATTTCTTTACAAGATAAGATTATATGAAGCAACAATCATAACACTGTGTTGTTGAATTAATGGCATATATACATACATATAACAATATTAACACAAGGAAGTTGCTATATTTTACTGCAGTTGAATTAGTATTAACCTGAAGTAGATGGTCTTATTAAAAAGCACATTGTGATCTCTAGAACAAATATGAAAAAAATTACAAAACATTCAGATAAAAAAGTCAACAGAGGAATTGAAATTATACATTAAAATATATTTAACACAAGAACACAGTAAAGAAAAAATAGAGGAATGAAAAAGACATTAGATATTAGCAAAACAGCAGATGTATATCCAACCACATCATAATGAATTAAATGCAAATGGACTAAACACCCCAACCAAAAGGCAGAGGATTTCAGGCTTCTTTCTAAAAGCAAGATTGAAGAACTATACACCACTTGTAAGAGACATACTTTAGATTCAAAGACACAAATAGTAAAAAGTAAAAAGTACAATGATAAAAAGTATAAATAAAATGTAAGAAAAATATATATCATGGAAACAGTAACCATAAGAGAGTTAGAGTAACTATACTGACATCAGACAAAGTACATTTTAAGACAAAGAGTATTTCATAATGTTAAAAGGTTAAATATACCAGGAAAATACAGCAATTTAAAATATGTATACACCTAAAACAGAGGCATGAAATACATGATGCAAAAAAATAACAATTAAAGGGAGAAACTGACAGTTCAACAGTTTGGGGTAAAAATTTCAATATATCATTCTCATAACTGATAGAACAACTAGGCAGAAAATCAACAAGAAAAGAGAAAGCTTCACACTATCAACCTCTTGTCCTAGAAGGCATTTTTAGACTAGCCCACCCAACAACAGCAGAATACAGCTTCTTGGCTGGGCATGTTGCCTCATGCCTGTAATGCCAGCACTTTGGGAGGTTGAGGTGGGAGAATTGCTTGAGGACAGGAGTTTGAGATCAGTCTGGGCAACACAGCGAGACCTTATCTCTACTAAAAATTTAAAAACTGAGCTAGGCATAGTGGCTCACACCTGTAGTCCCAGCTGCTCAGGCAGGTCAGGCTATAGGATTACTTGAGCATGGGAAGTTGAAGCTGCAGTGAGCCGTGATTACACCACTGTACTCCAGCCTGGGGAACAGAACAGACTCTGTCTCAAATAAAAAAAAAAAATACATCTTCTTATGCTAGGTCATATAGTCATATAAAACAAGTTCCCCAATTCAAAAGGATTGTAATCATTAATCACATGTTTGCCAATCCATGGAATTAAATTAGAAACCAACAACAGAAAGAAATTTGAGAAATCCCCAAACATTTGGAAATTAAACCAAATAATTTTAAATAACTCATGGGTCAATGAAGAAACCACAAGAGAAATTAGAAAACATTTGGAAGGTAACAAAAATGAAAACATAACATACTAAAATTTTTAGATAAAACAGGGTCGAGATGAAAATGTAGCTTTAAACACATGTATTAGAAAAAAAGTAAAGGTTTCAAGACAATATCTAAGATACAACCTTACAAAACAAACAAAAAGAATTAAACCCAAAGAAAGCAAAAGGAAGAAAATAATAAAGAGCAGAAAGCATCAATTAAACAGAAAATAAACAACTTTAAAAAACAGTGAAAACAAAATTTGGTTGTTTAAGATGATCAACAAAATTATTAAACCTTTAGCAAGATTGACAAAGAAAAAAAAGACACAAATTATCAAAATAAGGAATGAAGGAAGGGGCATGCCACCAACTGGCAATCCTACAGAAAAAAGAAATCAAAGTTAAAGGAATTACTGTGAACTGGATGGGCGTGGTGGCTCACGCCTGTAATCTCAGCACTTTGGGAGGCCAAGGCGGATAGATCACTTGAGCCCACGAGTTTGAGACCAACCCGGCCAACATGGTGAAACCCATCTGTACTAAAAATATAAAAATTAACTGGGTGTGGTAGCACATACCTGTAATCCCAGCTACTCAGCAGGAGAATCGCTTGAACCTGGAGACAGAGATTGAAGTGAGCCGAGATTGTGCCACTGCATTCCAGCCTGGGCGACAAAGCGA